ATATATATATATATATATATATATATATATATATATATATAATGCAACAACTTACCTCTGCCTGTTTCCTCTTCCCCGGGGTGCTCGATCACCCATTTATAGTTCCAGGAAATACCAACTACAGGAAGCGGGTAGGGGGAAGTGAAGATACGTGTTGCTGTGTTTATTTAGATAGATGATGGTGTTTATAATTTACTTTATTTATAGGCATTATAATTAGATGTTAATTATTATAGATACTTGTGGTGCGGGTAAAATCAGGTAAATATTTATTATACATATATGGTTAGAAATATATTTACCTGTAGATTGCAGGGCTGGTCCAATTAGCTGGACCAGGTGTATATAAGGGTCTCATTTTGTTTGTGTGGAGGATTAGTGGAGGCCACTAGACACTGGTGGCAACGGTGGTGCGATGGTCGACTTTTAAAAATAAAAGAAGCTTCTTCTGAAACCTCTGGGCTCCTGAACTGTTCAGTTGACTCCATGGCCACTGAAACATGTTTACACAGACCATCTTCTCTCTGATGGTCTCTGTTACTGATGGAGGTCTGATCGAGGATCAGGACTACACTGAGACTGGTTCATAGAGGATCAGGACTACACTGAGACTGGTTCATATAGAGGATCAGGACTACACTGAGACTGGTTCACATAGAGGATCAGGACTATCGTGGTTCCTCAGTGTCGTTCTATGGAAGCTGAGTGCCGTCGCTGCTGATGATTCATGTTCACAGACTCGTTCTCTGTGGAGTCTTTTCATCATCGTCCTCCTGATAGAAGGACTTCATGACTTCATGACGTCACAATCATGACTTTCACTAAATATTCATCTCCTGCAGAGATCAGAGGTGCTGAGGCTCTGGTCGGCTTCACGTCGTCTAACATCTCATCGTTCTTCTGTTTACAGCAGCAGCCGCGTCATGTCACACGTTGTGTCTCTGACTCCTAACAACCTCACTTCACACGCCTAGTCTGATGCACTAATGTGTCTGAAGAGGAAACAATATTTAGTAATTCAATGTTGCAACAATAAGTTTGTTTCCATCAACTTGTTTTTATGAACGTTTTTAATCAACACATAAAAACCTGGAAACGCTGTGAGTTAAACAATGCGTATAAATAAACGTGTAGGAAGGTGTTCCCTGCTGTGTGACACTTTCTGGAGCTTTCTAAAGACGAGCAGCAACTAAAGAGACAAACAGGAAGAAGCAGTGGTCGTTAACAGCCGATCACAGCTCCTTCTCCTCAAGTAAAGGCAGAAAAACAAACGTTTCACACTTCAGTACTAACTCGTCACAGCTCAGCTCCACGTGTTTCAAGTGAAACGTTGACAGAAGGTTTCACTGGTTCAAGAAGCTCGTTAATCATCAACATGTGAGCACACTTCATATCTACAGAGTTATTCCAGCGCTCACCCGTCTGTGTGCAGAGTCTCTTCTTCTTCTTCTTCTTCTCTGTTCACCACAACGTTAACAACGTCCACAGCAGGAAACACAAACAGAGAGAATTCCTGCTGCGACATCACATCTGTGACGTCCGATGTCCAACCAAACATCAAACAGCAGATCGTCTGTGAACACGACTGTTCTCCTGGAGTCACTGCGCCTTCACTTCAACACGTCTCACGCAGCGAAGCTTTTAAAACCAGAGCGTCTGACTATTGAGAAGATGGAGATGGAAGCACAGCTCACATTTTAAGATGGGCAGCACGCTGAACACCATGAAGTGATGTCATTTACTTCAGGATGTCATCATTTGGTCTCTAACAAGCAGAAGCTACGTGAGTCCCTCTGGTTATCCTTCACAGCAGCACAGGAACATCTCATAAACGCTGAAACAGCTTTTAAAATATCTAATAATGTGACTGAGTTCAGCTGCAGGGCCGTCTCACCACCAGCTGGGGGCGCCACCGTGCTGCTGGTTCCTGGTGGAGCTGAGGATCCGTCATGTGTCCCTGACTACTGCCCCCCTTCCAGCCTCTGTTATCAACACTACATGACTACCACAGCTCTGGTGAGTCTTCTGCACATCTTCAGACCTCTGCGCACAACGTCCTGGTTCTGGTTCTCCTGTTCTTAGTGTCGACCAACAAACTCAAGTTGATGCTGCTGCAGAGGAGAGGTGGAGTGGAAGAGAAGGAAGGGATTCATTGTGCTTCTTTGTCCATGTCTCCGATGTCTGTCCCGTCCTGCAGCGTCTTTCCCAGACGGACCGATTCAAATCCCTGATCTGGTGAAACTTAAGTGTTTTGTCTCAACAGCTGTGAAACAATGAATGCAGCCCTTTAGAGGTTCAAGGACACAGAGTTAGGTTGGTTTGAATCCCGACAGTAAAAACACTCTCCTCTTCCTCAGTGACTGCTGCCTGAGTGCCGTTGAGCAACGCTTAGCGTGCAGCTTGTGTTCCAGTGTAGCAGAAGATGCTGCTGCTCAGTCAGCCGGTAGAACTTTACATTTAAAATCAGCTAAATGAAATACCGTCCGTGGACTAAAGTTTGGTTTCCACTGTCTGGATGCTGCTGCCCCCTAGCGGACGGGGGCGTACAGTGCAGCACCCAGACCCAGGTACTCCAGGTTCTCCGCCGCCGGGAGGAATAGACCGTTCCCGGTCACAGTGGTGGTGTTAGCGGTGAAGGGCGTGGCCCGCGGCAGGAAGTCGGCCTGGTAGTCCGGATTGTCAAGGCGGTCGCTGGCGGCCAGGGGGAGCGAGCTTTGGGCGGTGTTCAGGTATTCGGGTCCCAAAGACTTCAGGTCCTCCAGCGGGGAGGGGAGCGAGGCGGCGCCCCAGCCCAGGCTTAAGTCCTCGTAGTTGGGATTCAAAACCTCCGACAGCCTGCTGCTCCAGCTGGTTCCACTCAGACTCTGGTTCATGTACTCTGAAAGAGAGGAAAGCGGTTTATTAACTCTTCTTTTATGTCTGTTGGCTTTCATCCAGATCACTTATTCTACCTGTTATATTTTACAACTGTTTCTCTATCATTTGCTCATTCATTCACTCGTTTTCTGATTTGATAAGATGTGATGGACAGATGAGCACCGTGGCCGCTGAAGTCTTCTTTATCCAGCGCGTTGTGAGTCGGATCGGTGATGTAACGCAGAGCGATGCTGTTCTCTCTGACTGGATGACCGTTCTGATGTGAAGACAGAGAAGATGCACATCCTGTTACCACACCACTCGGAGAAAAGGTTTGTCTGCTTTTTAATTCTTTATTCTTCCTTTTATCCTTTATATTTCATCTCCAACTTCTTCAGCAACTCAAACATCAAACAGAGACAAGAGGTCAAAACCACCTCCTGCAGGCTTAAGAGTGTTTGTTTACCGTGGCGTGGCAGGTACGGGTGTCATGATGACCCGCTCCTTTGTAAGGTAGCAGGTACTTGTCGGCATCGACCACTTCCTCCATGTCGTCTGAGCTCAGCAGGCGAGAGTAAAACCTGCTGTCTGTCGGACTGGGGAGGTCGCCCTGAGACAGGAGTCACAATGATGTTCATGTTCATTCTGACAACACAATACTATAACAGAAGTACAACACCAGTACTCAATATGTGTTCTATATGTATTCAATTCAATTCAATGTAGTTTTATTCACATGAAGGTTTTCGAAAAACAATGTTTCCAAAGCATGAAAATCAAAAAGCACAACCAGATAAATGTTCATGGAGCCGCTGCCCTGTGGTCCCACCACTTTCAGGGTTCGGGGGCAATGTGAGCTCGGCGGCAAGAAAGGAAGGGACCAAGATGTGCTGACCCCTGGAGTAGGAGACTGGCTCTGGGGACGTGGAATGCCACGTCTCTGGCAGGGATGGGACCAGAGCTGGTGCGGGAGGTGGAGCGGTACCAGCTACTGTAGATATAGTGTATAATATAACACTGGTGCTGGAACCAAACTCCTGGAGAGAGGCTGGACCATCTTTTTCTGGAGGTGCCCCACTGGATGTAGGGATACTCACGAGCCCCCGGCTGAGAGAATGAGATTGCGGATGCAAGAGGCTGAAATGAGCTTCCATCATAGGATGGCTGGGCTCAACCTTAGAGATTGGGTGAGGAGCTCGGAGTAGAGCCGCTGCTCCTTTATGGCCAGGATGCCTCCTGGACGTCTCCCTTTAGAGGTTCTCCAGGTACGTCCAACTGGTAACAGGCCCAGAGGAAGTCCCAGAACACACTGGAGATTACATATCTCGTCTGGCCTGGGGGTTCCCCATGAGGAGCTGGAAAGCGTTACTTGGAAGAGGGACGTCTGAAACACTCTCCTAAGCCTGCTGCCCCCGAGACCCGGCCCCGGATCAGCGGAAGTAAATGTTTCCAAACTGTCTGATCATGTTTCTTCTTTTCTGTGATGCCAACATGTTCACAGATCTCAGCTGTTTACTTGGCGAGTACAACGTTATTATTATTACTGATGAAAATGACACACATAAGACTCAAGAAGTTGTTATAAACCTCAATGTTCCTGAACTAGAGACTTCACACAGACACACACAGTGTACCTGTACGACCAGGTATCTTGATGGATCTCTAGCCATCTTTGAGAACCCCACTATCAGCTCTCTGAATGTGGGACGACTGGACGGGTCGATCATCCAACCTGGAGAGAGAGAGAGAGGAAATCATGAGGAGAAACATGTCCTCAGCTGGACTCTCAGGTGTTAACTGTCCACTTTAACGCTGACTGCAGTCTTTGTAGTCAGCGTTTAGCTCCGAGCTCTTACATTTCACCATGATCATGTAGACGTCGATGGTGCAGATGGGGGGATGGGGCAGCCGGTCTCCTCTCTCCAGCACCGAGGCCATCTCGCTGGCCGGGATGCCGTCGTACGGCTTGGAGCCGAACGTCATGAGCTCCCACGCCGTCACACCTGCAGACCACAGACCAGAGACCGATCAAACGGACTGGCTCTATAGCAGAGAAGATCTTTTGAGAGGGTGGTGGCGAGACAAAGAAAATGTCTCGAACAAAGTGAATGTTCTCCTGATGTGTGTGTCTGATAAATGCCACCATGTTAGTGTCAGAATGTTGTGGAGATATGTAGCTTGTGAGAAACAATATTGGCGACGATGGAGAGAAAGAATCGTGTTCATGTTGACTTCTCCTGTTGGAGTTAACAGACTCAGGACCTGCAGGAAACTGACTCTCAGTTCTCAACCAGCTCTGATATTAAATCAGCAGTTTGGAGGTAAAACTGGAACGAAGCAGACGACTGACAGAAGATTGTGATTGTGAATGTCACAGAGATGTCAGCTAGAAAACTAGCTGTTGACAGCTGGTTGCTGCTGTTAACCTGTTAGTGGGAAGATCAATAATACACAAACTCCAGCAGTCCATGCTGTTGGTCCCATCTTGTTGTGGAGATGTGAAGAACGTAGAATGGGTCTGAGACTCCTTGAGCAGGAGAATATTAATATATTCCGTCCAGCATCACTGCACAGAGAGCAGGTGGAGGTGGTTGACTCACCGAAGCTCCAGACGTCACTCTGATGTGTGTAGGTCCACTGCAGGATCGACTCCAACGCCATCCACTTAATGGGAACCTGCAGAGACACGAGCATGACCTGAGTGGTTCCTTTTGAAACATCAAAGAAGACGTGAGCATTTTAAGGATCACTTTCATAACTCGGTGTTCTGTAGAGCATCTCCATGGGAACACTGAACAACACACACCTTTCCTCCGTCAGCGTGGTATTCCTTCTCGTCGGCCGTCAGCAGCTTGGCGAGGCCGAAGTCGGCGATCTTGACGTGGTTTGGAGTTTTCACCAGGACATTCCTCGCCGCCAGGTCCCGATGCACCAGGTGACGCTCCTCCAGGTAGTTCATGCCCTGCACGCACGCACACACACACGCGCGCACACACACGCACACACACACAGGAGGAAGACGAGGAGAAGGAGGAAGGAGGTGTGTAACAAATGAAAAAGAGAGAAGTTTCCAACCCTGCACCTTGTGAGCCGGCTGTGAACAGATATTTCATATATATATATAGTCT